TCTCTCAACTTCGCCCCCTCAGCTCATTCTCTGTGATCTCATACTTCTCTCTCAGAATGGTCTCTCTAGGCCTCTCTGCAATTCCTGTTCTCTTCTCTCTGTGAGCTCGACCCATCTCCCTGATCTCCCTCCAGATTCTACTCATCTCTGTCCAAGCTCCCCTCTCCGCACTCTCCTGGTCACTCTGACTCTCCCTGTTACCTCTTGTCACCTCCTCTATTCTTTCTCTTCCCTCTGTGATTTTCTCATGCTCCCCTAAATTTCAGAGCGATTGTTCACCCTCTTTCTGAACAATCGCCCTGAAATTCCTATTCTCTCTGATCTCACCCCTTTCCCTCCCTCAGCTCACCTGTCTCCCCAATCTCCCTCAATGTTCTCCCAGATCTCTCTTCTTACCCTCTCTCCTTCTATCTGATCCCACTCATTTCTTTCTCTGCTCACTCTCATCTCCACGGTCAAGTTTCACCCTGCTTTTCCCAAAAATACTTCCCACCAAGTGGACATGGGCAGGCACCTTACCTGACCGGCTTTGCTGAGACGAGTGAGCCCTCTGCACACTCCGAGGCTGCGGCTGCGACGCAGAATAGAAGGGACCAGATGTCGTCCTGCCCAGCACCAGCTGCTTGATGCGCGGGCTTCTTCTCAGGCTCAGCGCTACAGGAGCGGAGACACAGCCGTCAGCAGGGAGATCCGCCGCCTGGCCTCCCACGTGAGCAACTTCCTGTCTCACCAAATGCAGACAGGAGCCTGACCGCCATTGGCTGGGACTTCATTGTTGTAGCCAAGATCAGAGGCGTGTGGTATGTGGCCCCAGCCTGTCACCTCAGACAGTGTCATGACCGGCCACCGAGAGGCACAGTGACTCAAAGTATTTTCAATGCAAATATTTCAGTTTGTGTGTATATTACATATATTTACATAGAAGTAACACCTGTAAGAAAAGTATTAAAGCTAAAATGTTAACATGTTAACAGGATTTCAGAGTTATGGGGTTACCAAGTGATCATTAAATTTTGGCTTCTCTTTTTTTTC